GATTAATTATCATCAGCCTTGGTTGTCGGGGAAAACAGAATTTCTTAGCCATCCCTCCATCCGGGTCCCCTTCACTTGGCCCTAGTAAAGCCTCGCTTTCATTCACGTCTTTTCCAGCCACGCGTCTCCGAAACGTCCTAATTCAATATTTGATGTTATTCCTGCCAACATGTACACTATATACCTACACACACACAACAAACCGCTACCGGAGTATACAATATAGTACAATGCTACTTGAACAATTAGTAATAATAATTATTACGGTGTGTAGATAATGTTGAATTTTCCGGAGCTCAAGTGGATGTACCAGAGCAAGAGGTGAGACAGCAGGAAAAAAGCGCAGGGATTGTCATTAATTAAACGCTACCGATAATTCTATCCATTGTAACGTCACAGCAAATTTAATTTGAAAGTCGAGTTTAGGAGTTGAAAGCTTTCTAAATAATTAAGCGACGATTCCCATTGAGAACGGAACGCTGTAAACCCATTGTCAAGTATTATTCGCTAATGAGTCGATGACCATCCTCTTTAATCGATTGCCTAGTATTACCAGATGTGTTAGGATGGACTAAGCTGTGTCTTATACATTTTTATAGATAATCATGAGGATTTCAAGTGAATGTAAAACGTGTTGATAGGTAAACAATAAAATCAAAATATTTTAACTATTGTTTTAAAATGTTCCAGGAACTTTGAGATGGTGTCAAACTTTAACGGTAATTTATTTTGGTAACCAACATAACAATAAGTGGAGTATAAACTTTAAATATTTTCCTTGTTTTCGAGGAAGTGATCGGATTGAGAAATTTTCATAATAACAGCAAGTTTTTACCAAATATTACCTATAGCATTTTTGACCCTGTTTGATGTGCTCAAATACATTTTGATAGTGTTGTAAGTGGCGCAACATCTGTTTTTGACATTTGCAACGCCGTCAATTGTTTATTCGTTAACACGGCTGTTTGTTTATACTTAGATTTGTCCAAAATTAGGAAATAATTGAACCCTATTTATATTTTGAAAACAGACGCCGGAAGGAATTGTCTGTGTAGGAGTTCTGTTGCTAACGTATAATGATTATAGTAATCTTAAAATTGGTAAAAAGTATATACATATATATTTTAAACTTTATATTAAGTTTTACAAATAACAACAAAATAGCATAAATTCAACGACAATTTCTGTGTACTTTATTTGAGTTCTTATACTTTGTTGATTGTAGAGATTACAGAGATAACACAAAAAAACCCTATCACATTATCCCTATACCTTATTACAAAGTCAGATTTAAATATTCGCTTTAACAAAAGTATCGATCGCGCTCATAAACGGTAAAATATATATTTTCTTAGTGCCGGATAACTCATTTCCATTCACCCAAATGCAAAATAAAAAAACCAACGCTTAGCATACAAATCATTATTGCCGTTTAAACGGAATTTGCTTAGAATATAATCATTTATCAGCTGTATTGTTTGTGTATAGGTGGGTTATAATATATACCGCTTATACTCCCATGGGATATTTTGCAAGCGTTCGAGGTTCATCAAAATAACCTTTTTTTGCATCCTATTTTTTTTTAAACATTACTCGTTCTTGCATTTTTTTTTTATCTTGTCACATTACACAAAAGACTAATACCTGTACACGTCTGCGGTTGACAAGCTGATATTATCTTGCGGCGACAAATTTACCGTCTGCACTGGCACGTGCTGGTTTATTATGATTTTTATTTTTTTTTTATGACACGAATATGTCTTATGGCTGGGTATGAAAAAATTTGCACTAAAGGGATGGGATATTAGTAACAGTGTATTTGAGCTGAGAATGTGATGGTTATATTATAAGAAAATCGAATAATTCCCGGATAACTTGCAAGGTTTAAGCGATAAGAGAACTAGCTGATAAGAGATGATTGATAAAAGGCAGAAAATCAGCTGACCAAAAGACATATTTCTGATCCAATATCATTTCCTTTAAGGGAAAGATTAATTTATGTTTGAACTGTTGTACTTGATTAAGTTAGGAACGGTTGATGCGGTTTTTGCTACAATGAACTACCTATTAATCTATTGTTATTGATACGGTTAAAACCGTTAAAGTAAATAGTTTTATTCGAAAAAATGAAAGGGCTATAGATTTCTCGTTGGCGGAGCAAGAATTTGCATCGTTTAGGGTTGGTGTGTGTGTTTTGTTTGTCGAGTACACGGTGAATACGAATGTGCCATTGTAGTTTACTTTTACAGAGACAAGGGTCGTGGTCAAATATCAATAAGGTCACTGTCTCCTCGTACCCTTCGTTCGACGTCGAATTACATAATATGTTACTATTACTGTTATTACAATCTACAGTTTTCATTTTTTTTTCAGACATATTTTGGATGTTGGAACAATCGTTATGGGCTATCGTTTAGATTCAAACGACTAATAAAGCAGCATATTTTATGGCTACCTACTTAAGTACCGAAAAGCTAGTTTTTCATATTTAAAATTTGCATGCCAGAATTAAAACTAAGTTTTCCACTAGGATATGCTTACTCCTTCCGTTATTGTTAATCACCCTACTCATTACTGCATTTTATTTGGGAAACATTGTTATTTTTCACCACACTATTTGCATCCAAAATAGTACACAAACTATAATTAGCGATTCAATTATTCAAAGTAAATATTGGGTCCTATTATCAAACATAATTTGTTATACAAAAACAGGAATGTAGAAGGTTCCTCTAGTTTGTTTCCGCCCTTTTCAAAGTAGAGTAACCTAAAGAATAAGTTTTGAACCGGCATTATATCTAATTGGGTAAAAGTATAGCTAAAGAAAATATGTGGTTACTCAAGTTCATGAATTATCTGCCCTGTTCTTCTATTTCACAGTATTTTACTTTATATTGTAATTTAATACTGTTTATCATTTTTCAAACATTCATACAATGTAAGAAAAGTATAACACGACATGCATGACTTGTAAAAGTTCCCTCTTGTTTTTTTTAACATAGAAGTTGGCACCTTTCATTTCATAAAAAGAAAACACCGTGAAACTTTTTAAGCAGAAACATTATAATTGAACGATTTTATTTATTAATAATTTAATTGGGCATTTATATTTAAAAATAAAAGGTACCTACTAACAAATGTAAACTTTATGTTTTTATTGCTTTAGTTAAAAGCAAAAGACATTAAAATCCACCAGACTGTTAGTAATGTATACAAATATATAAATCTCATTATCATTATTATGTTAAATAAAACGTTGGTACATTTTTTTTTAATTATAACTGAAAAACTAGGTCATAGTGATTTAATCCAAAGATGATATTTTAATAATCAAGGAGAGAGTATAAAATAACTACACTTAGGTAGGTGAACCTATGATAATTAAATGCAAATGTTATCAACTGTTTTGATTTACTCTTCTCTAGTTTAAACTAGGGTTGTCATTTGAATTACAACAATCAAATAGTAGGAATATTCAAATATTCGTATTAGAATACTTAATTTTTATTATTCGAATAATTCTCATCACCAGTTTAAACATGTACCAAAGCCCTATTATTTCCAATGCTATATTTGGGTATATCCGGACAAGTACATTGCATAGCTTAGACATACAATCTTTAGCGTGTATTGTCTGGGAATTACATTGTTATTTTCAGAGTGATGGCAATAATTATTACAAGCCGGAGGTGAATTCAATGATAAATGAACTCTTACAATTCACATGTGTGAATGAGTATAATAATGTGTTTCCTATATTACTTGTTTTGTTGAACAAGATTTTAGGCTATATACAGGGTGTCCAATTTTAAGATACTAATCGATTTATCTCCTAAAATACAAATCCAACCAAAAAGTTGATTATTAGAGACTTTTAAAGTACAAAAGGGGACGTTAAAAAAATGGTTCAAAATTCAAAATGGCCGACTTACGGTCAAAAACATGTTTTTTTCTTTAAAAGGAAACCATGTAATTTTTGTTAACCAAACAAATGTTCTTATCAAAACTAACAACAAAAATGTTTCGGTAAAATCCATTATTTGTAAGTTAAGTTTCTAGCTATTTTTAGTTTTGTTATTTTATTTTGATGTACATGGTGACCGTGTCATGTGTGGTAACCGTGGTATGTGTGATAACAATGGCATATTCGATCATCTCAAATAAGACAGTTTTAGTCTTTGCCTTTGTCTTTAACATTATCATTAGTATTACCATTACATTATCATTATCTTAATCGTTAACGTTATCCTATTTTCTGTGTATCACAAAGACAAAAACCATGGTTACCACGCATACCAAAGTTACTAAAAATACCACGGTTACCATATGCATCAAAATAAAATAACAAAACTAAAAATAGCAAAAGAGATTTAATTTACAAACTATGGGTTTGACCGAAAAATTTTTCCTACCAAAGTTGTTAGTTTTGATAAGTTTGTTTAACAAAAATTACATGGTTTCTTTTTTAAAAAAAATGTTTTTGACCGTAAGTCAGCCATTTTGAATTTTGGATTATTTTTAACGTCCCTCTTTGTACTCTAAAAGTCTCTAATAAACAACTTTCCGAATGGATTAGTATTTTTTGAGATAAATCGATAAGTAATTTTAAAATGGGACTCCAAACTGTCAAATTCGAAATTTTTCAGACATATTTTATTTTAGTCTATTGTCTGTTGTCTTCACGGTTAAACTTGTACAATTTCGACAAGTTATTTAATTCACAAACCGTGATACATGCGCAGTACATCAACCGGGCAACTAAAAAATGTTAAATTTCTAATAAAATATATGCAATTTATTTTGTATTGTTATAAAACAGGTACTGAACTATTGATGGGAAGAAGTGGGGGCAAGATTGGATCATGTGTGGATGTTTTTTATGTTGTCGAACGAATGTCAGGTGCGAAATTGCTACACTTTATTTGATCGACAACATATTATGGTCAGCTATAAATGGTTATTAGAATTGCAATACACACATTTTACACAAGGCACTATACCTCTACATATGCCCGCTGGACTGTAGTAATCGTCGTACTGGCAAACGAGGCCTTTCCTTTGGTCGCACACGGCTATACCGTCACACGGGTCTCCGTCTTGTCTGGCGCACACAGGACAGCATCCGCAGCCGTCTCGGGTGTGCGGTACTCCAGGTTCGCACACCGGATCCCTGTTGGCACATTGACATGGGTAAGTGCAATGCGATCGGATCTAAAGGGGAAAAAATAAAATTAAAGTCAAAGAAAAATATCTATAAACATTGAACATATAGGCAGGTATTTTTATGTATAGGCAGGTTTGACCCGCTGACAGCTTCCCCGGTGGTGATGCCGGTTAAGCGGGTCTACCGAAATCCGCCGTTTCATCGCATATTGATCTCGTTTCCTTTTTTGAAATTACTGTGCTAGAATAACCAAAACGACCGTCCAAAAAGGGGAGATTAAAAAAAAAAAAAATGGTGAAATATGCAAACGCGTCGAAATGTAACTGGTCTGGAAAAAAAAAAATACCAAACCCTTTGCTCTTAAAAATCAAACAAACCCGGGGTTTCTTGTGTAGACAGAAAAACGGGGAAAATATTGATTTTACTTAAGCGAAACAGATATTTTACACGTTATTCTTTTAGTTTATATTCAAAGTTATTTGAAACAATGTATGCAAGTACGATTGCCAATTTTCTTGGCGCACTCTAGTGGTGAAAAATTCAACTACCGAGTTATTTATCTTGGCCACTGAAAATTATACACTTTTTTTAATCCAACCATGCTATTATTCGCAATTTGAAAAAAAAAATGGAGTAATCGCTTGGGTATCTGAGCGCTTCAAATGGTACTCGCTAATGCCAAAACTTGAAAACAGTACATTTTTTTCTAATTTAAAATAAGGCGCTCGATAGCTTTAACCCCCCTCAACTTCTAAAGGGCTAATTTTTAAACAAATAAAATAAATGAGCTTAATAAGTTTTTTTTCTCAAATATATTAACTGCAAATACAGCACGATGACTGAGCCATATATGTTGGATATTATGCCGAACTTGCCACTATAAAATATCCATTTTAGCGTCTGGGATCTTGGCAACTAATACGTACGACATAACATCTAAAGTGCAATGGTTATCCATTAGTTGTTAAAGTGCTCGTTTCGGAATTAACGATACACGTGTGTCCTTGGTGCTTGCGTGCGTTCATTGATTCATTACATTGGCAGAAGCCTTCACGTTAAGTCGTTAATAACTGTTACGGTTTGAGCCAATTTGTTTTCTATATTATGAACAGTTACCAATAAGTAGCTGGAAACGGTTCGTTCCATAATGGCCCGTGATTACTGCCGTCACGTGTGTATCCCCACAACATTATTTATAAATAATTATCCACAGGCATGCAATTTACACATTTTAAACTGTAACTAATGTGGAAAACCCCAAAATATTGGAGCTTCTCGACGGAAAGTCGTACCAAGACGACCTGGCTTTGAATAGCTTTTGCAAAAAGTTGAAGAATTTCAATATTTAGGAGTACTAAGAATGATTGGTCACGCATCTTTTGCACCATCCAAATTCCTCAAATCCTAAGTTCTTGCTGAGAAAACAAAATTAAAATTGTACACGGTAATATTTAGACCTGCCCTCACTTATGGACAAGGACAAATGAATGGAGATGGAAGTTCAACGAGGAACTTCAAAAAGAACTGGGCTTAGCACCGGTCACTAGTTACATACAAAGAATACAGTGGTTGAGCCATATTATGAGAAGAAGCTAAGAAGAATCCACCAGAGCAGTTATGAAATGGAAACCGAAATGGAAAAGACCTCGAGGCAGACCGACAAAGAGGTGGGGCTAGGAAACGTAGTAGAAGAGGATCTTAATGCCCAAGGCAATTGTTCAAGATCAAGAGAGATGGAGGGATGTAGTGATGGCGGCAAAGACTCTAATAGAGTTTGAAATGCCAGTGAAGAAGAAGAAGAAGCTGTAAAATCTATTGTTTGAAGAACAGCGTTCAACGAAAACGAGACAAAACGTTCATACGGCGATTGATAGCGGAATACAGTTTACAGTTTTTTGAGTAAAAACAATATAATCACTTTTTTTTTTCAAGACAACAAAAGTGAGCTGAAAAGAATACATTAAAAGCGAAAGGGTGCGAACATTTAGTTGATGACTGATTAACATTTGGCGAAGTTTTGTACCGTGTAGAAAATAAATTAAACTTTCTACAACAATCACATACCGGGTATCAGCAAAATTGAATGTGTCCAAAATAATGATAATCTAAAAGCTGTTTTGTAAAAGGACAACAGCTCAACTAAAACAATTCACACGACAACTACAGCACTCCAGGAAATTAAAACGAATTCATTATATTGTTCATTATGAATAGCAAATGGTAAATCAAATAGTTTCATAAACAAATGTATAGAAGTGTTTATTATGAAATGTTTGAATGTTTTGTTTAAATGATCACTATCTATGCAAAAACGTCAAGTAGGAATATTGGACTAATTTTTTGTTTATGACCTTATAAAATACATTTTTCATCCATCAGCACACATATGTTTTGGCATAAAATTAGTGAACTAAAGAATGACTTTTTATGTCTTATCGCAAACGCTAACGATAATATATGAAAAATGCTTTTATGAAATAGTTTATAGCAGATGATTGTGGCCGACAGTGAGTTGTGCTTGTTTAGCATTGCAGTGATAGAGCAAATGAAGACAGCAGCGGTGGAAGAAAAATAAGGTCAACGAGAAATGGTTAGCTGACGGCTATTGTCGAGGGAGTTATCATCTTATCTATCTATAAAGCCTTCTCAGTTATTAAAGACATTTTTCACATTTTATTTTTATTCAGGACTGGCACTGAAAAAAATATCAATAAGTAATATACAGCATTGTTTGAATAGTTTTCCGACCATCTCAGAAAATAATAATAATGATATTGTTTTTTTTAAACGATAATAGTCATAGTACTAAGGAAGAAATGTCAGATACCTGCCAATAAGTTGATTGTGAAAGTTTCTAAAATAGAACATTTTGTGGCTGATAAATTGATACATTATCAAATAACACAAGTTTTTTTTTTGCGACCATTAGTTCAAATAAGAGATATCTACCGAGTTTTCCTTTTTAGGGGGACATTTATAATATGTGGTTTACGGGATGTACAATATACTATAATATATATTTTGTTTCCCCTAAGGGTTTGTAAAGTTGTGTTCCGTCCAATGCGAGGCGTAGGAAAAAGTTGTTAATGGATTTTTATGTAGCAAAATCATCAAAAACAATGTTTTAATAACCTTGTAAGGGTCGAAGGTAGTTAGTTGAACTCGGGTTTTAAGAAATAATTGATCAGATGCCAACGGGTGGCTTCCTTTCTATATCTTTTTAAATCGAGACTTCCGATCTTAATTATTATAAACTTTAAAAACATGAAAAATAATTATTCAAAACTGGTCTTCGACAAAGGAAAATTAGTTATTTAAAAAAAGTTACGTTTAAATGTTTAAAAATGATGGCGCTCTGAAGTGAACTAACAGAGGTAAATATTTAGACATTTTTTTTAATGTAAAATTATAATTACAAATAGGTATTTTTTTAAAAATAAAAACTACAAAATTGCAATTAATTTTTTCAAGGTAATTAGAGGAACACTTAACTTGATCATGTGTAAGTCTATTGAAAAAATATATGTATATACGAACAGCTGTGTGGAAAATGTATAATATTCCCTAATGCCAACTTTCAGAAAATTAAAGAAACCTGTTTATTTCCACTATATAATTCCTAGTATAATTTATAAATGACGTTTCAGTGAAATAATATTTTCCTTTACACACGCTCATAATATGAGTGTACCTTTCATCTACAAAATGGATATTTCAGTTTATTTTTGGAATTTTATTATTTTTCCACTCGGCTGTTCATATATTTACTTTGATGTGTGAAATTTATTCCCTTGAATGATGCTTACTGTATTGAATTCTAGACATTCACGATGCACCGTACCGCGAATCTAACTAATATTGTTATTTTTAAAAAATATTATTTAATGATAATTATTGCCTTCTTAAAGGCGTCGAAGAGGATAAGTTAAGTGTACTGTTCATAGATTTCTATAGCTCTAAGTTTCCCACAATTTCAAAATAAGTGATTTAAACAGGTTGACATAACTGCTGATGCTCAATCCATTTAGCCTCTTAAAGAAGATTTGGATTAAGTGATTGAAATTGTTTTTAGATAATAAGAAAAAAGGTGGATTGAAACTGTTATTTAGTTCACTTCTCTTCTGTAACTTTAAACTCGAACAGTATATTTTATTTTCATTGCATTTTGGCTAAAACAATAACCACCATGTGTTTTTTAATATTAACTATAGTAATAGTTCTGCTTAAAACTTCTTTAAAAATTATTCCAAAGAAAATATTATTAAAAAAAATAATAATAATTATCAGTAAAAGTAGTCTTGGCGGAAAATAACCAAAAAAAATGTGTGGTTTTTCCTATGTAGTTCTTTATTTTTATATTAAAAAAATGCGGTATAAAAGTAAAAGTAAAAAGTTTTTGTACACTTCTTAATATTCTAAGCATACATACGAGATGATTTTCCACTCCATTTATTTATTCAACTTTCAGCCAGCCAAAATCATTCAAGTGAAAACATGAAACATATTAACACATGTCTCTGTAAATGCTGGAATTGCTGTTACGTTTTCTTTAGTGCACTTTAACTTAATTGACCATCAATAAAGATTCGTTTCTATCAATCCAAGATGCGTTTATGATGTTTTTTTTTTATATATAATATACTAGGTATTTGTTGTAAGTCATATCAGCTATGAATATTTAGCTCTATTCTTATTCTTCATATTTTTACAAACAGATATTTCCATACTCCATCATTGTTGTAGTATCATAACTTATCTGAAAGGTCCTATCATATCCAATGGTAATAATTGTATTCCAATGACGGGATTCTGTGTAATTTGACGTTAAATTCCAAACCGCATTAGGGCTGTCTCTTTATTTGTACAAAATATATAATATTCTGAGAAACCCCATCAGAAACTTGTGCACATCAACTTTAACAGCAAACACAGTGTATCACAAACTGGAAGTGCTCGCGTTCGCCTATCAAAGAGTTAAACGTTGGTTCAAGACAAATATTTACTGCAATGGATAGATATATTATAGTGGTAAAATGTATTTGAATTT